ATGATGGTGCCAACTTGGGCCAGTGAAGCGACGTCCTCCACAACTAGACTGAAGAACAAAAGGACAGCAACTTGTCTGTTCCCCTTCACCCAATTCCCCAGCACTGTTCTCATCCCCCAATTCCCCAATAAAAATCTTTTTTTTAAAAAAAGGGAAAGTAGCGCACTTCTTTAGTAAAACCTTTGACCAACACGTGATTATTTCCCTGTAAACTTAACAGATTTTTTAGGTCCCAACTCCATGCCCTTTTTGGCTACTAATCCCAAACTATATCCTTTAAAGAATTTCAGGTAGCAAAGTATCTAAAGGATTAGCTTTCATTTTTTTTTTTCTAGAATAGAGTGAGTTTTGAAATGAAATACTTGTGAACCCACAAAACAATGGCCATTTCATTATTAAGGCTCAAACTATTTCCTGGAGCTGGAGTTCGCTTGAGTAGGTGCATGTTCAAGCCTGGGGGGGCCCCTGCCCACAATGCAGAGCCACAATTACTGTCCCACGTTTGGGATCTCACACAGCATGGCTCTGCCCCTGGCTGCACCTGTGGTTTACATACAACTAGTCAGTTCAGCTCTATAGACCCAGCTCTCTGGGTCACGAGATATTGTGGAAAGAGCCTGTGCGAGAGAACAGCAATGCAGATGGAAAAGGGGTGCAAGTCTGGTGGGATTCTAAGGAGACCTCCAGACTGGTTCTGTTACTGCTGACTGGGAAATACCTTGTTTTATTTTTAAAGCTCTTGGCCTCTCAAGTGCATCAAGTGTTAGAAAAGAGTACCTTCAAAATCCTTTTCTTTTCTCCCCTTGCAGGAAGTGCTCAAATCTCTCTCTCTCTCTCTCACACACACACATACACCCAAAAGAGGAAACAGTTGGATCGGAACTTAGAAATCATGTGACTGATGACTAAGTTCAATCTTTTCTACTGACTGCAAGGGGAGAGTCCGACGATTTAGTTACTGACTGCATTTTTTAAGTTTTGGAGATATTAAATCATGTTACCATTTATGCTCTTGTCCACCCTGTTTTCTTCCACATTTACTGACCCGGTGGAGCAACACTGGATCTGCAACTCCTCTGATGTGAGTGTTTGGTATACCTACTGTGGTAAGTGAAACAGCAACATGTCGCAGCCTCAGCTATTTTGAGGAGGAGTTTTCACAGGCTCCTTTCTTGCCCTGCCGTCGCTGGGACACGGGAAACGACTGCCTGTTCCAGCAGCTGCCGACAGCAAGACTGATGGCTGGTGACTTCCCTGTGTGGATTTTCTGGATCCTTCACAGACCCCACCAGCCTCTAAAATTGTGTTGTACTTGACTTCCGAGTGCCTCTGTTGTTTCCTGCGGTCAGCTATCTCTCCCTTGAGCCCAGTTTCACATTCTCCCCAGTTTTGGCAGAACTGTCTGCTTCTGAGCTTTTTTTTGCCTGCCTCCCAAAACTGCTTCTTCTTTGCATGGAGGAACAGTCCTAGCTGCCTCCTGCCCCTGGTGATTGCTCGAAGCTGTACTTTTGTTTTCCAGCAGTGTTGGGCATATGATGGGTGTTTTGCATGTGTTTCAGGCTGTGATTTTTGAAGACACTTGGAATCATCTCTCTAATTGGATGTAAGCCTGGCTCTGTCACTTATAGCTGTGTGTGACCTTGGGCAAAATACTCACTTTGCCTCTTTGTGCTCTAGTTCTTTTAATCTGTAAAATGAAAGTGATTTTAGAACCTATTTCACAAGGATTGGTATGACGTTACATTTTTAGCACAGAGCCACATAGAAACAGCCCTGATTATTATTTTTTTAATTAACCTAATGATGCTATTGCTGGTTGTATCACTGTCTCCCCACTGCCCTGCCCTTTCCGCCCTCCCCCCGCCCCCCCAAAGCACAGCTCCAGGGCTTGACCACTGTTTTGGTTTGGTATTTGCTACTGCATTGCTCATCTTGAGTGGGCTGGCCTTTTCTGCCCACTGATTATACCAGCAAGGTTTAAAGGGAGGCTCCCCAAAATATTAGTTCTTTGAGATTTTTTTCGGGAAAAGGGATTTATGGTCTAAGCATTTGGGGGAAATTTACAAATGTCCTTTGAGTTCTGAGAAGTTCTGCAACAAAGAAACCTATTGAAGTCCCCAGATTGTCAATTTTATTTTATTTTATTTTTTGAGTGTGTGTTGGCTGTCCTGAGAAACACACTTCTGGCAAATGGTAATATGAAGTTATTTCCAAGGAATTAAGAGTAATCGCCAACCTCACACTCGTGGGTTTTTTCCCCACTTGTGAATTGTGTGGAATTCCCTCTCAGCTTACCCGTGGAATGTCTCCATTCCTACAAAACCTCCGTCCATTGCGCCCTTCCAGGAAGACTCCTCAGCCACTCGGCCCCCACTTCTCTCTTCTGCTCTGGCCCTTCTGCCCCACACGTCTCTGTGCTCGGTTTCAGATGGCCTCTAATTAATGCACCACTTCGTATTATTATTAGCTTTTAGTCTCTTAGGAACAATAATTTGATTTGTCTTTTGATCTGATTTTTGAGGGAGGATCTTGCGTCTTTCTGTCTAATGCTGAGAAATCTGGGGGTCCTCCCTTGCTACCCACCTGCTGTCAGGACTGAGGGGGGCAAGCGAAGTGCACTGCTATAGCAAGGCTCTGCCTGCCGCCATCCCCACGGCCATGTCACTCCCTTCTCCACCCGAGAGAATCCAGGCTGGCCCAGCCGAAAGTGCATCCGTGTGGGAAACACTGGTTCCTCTAGGCATTGTTGTGAGGGTGTTGGTGACAACAGCCACTCCCGATTCAGTCTTCTCTGTGAGGATGACTTCCATTTGGCCAAACCACTGGGTATATATACAGTGTATTAATCTGCTAGGGCTGCCATCACATCACAAAACACCACAGACTGGGCAGCTGAGACAACAGAAATTTACTTTTCACAGTTCGGGAGTCTGGCAGTCCAAGATCAAGGGTTGGCAGGTTTGGTTTCCTTCTGAGGCCTCTCTCCTGGTTTTGCAGATGGCTGCCTTCTCACTGTGTTTTCATATCTTCATACGGCCTTTTCTCTGTGTCACCCCCTAAACAACCTAAGTGTCCATTGATGGATGAATGGATAAAAGAAGTTGTGATATATATATGAATTATATATGTGTATATATGAAAGTGGGACAATTAAGTTCAGGAACTTAATTGTTTGTGTGTGTATGTGTGTGTGTATACACATATATATGTGGCCATGGATGTTAGCTGAACCTTTTGTGGTAACCATTTTATAATATATGTAAATCAAACCTTCATGCTGTATGCGGTAAACTTATAGTGATGTATGTCAATTATTTTTCAATAAAACTAAAAAAATAGAGAAAATAACAGGTTAAAAAGTCCCAAACGGGGGCAAGTAATTTTATAAAAATACATTTGGGAGAGTTTCTCCCCTTCTCACCCCCAGTTTAACATAATTTAGTACCTTCAACCCCCACTGTAACAATGTAAGGACATTAAAACACTCATCTATTTACATTAGGGGGAGATTCCCTTTTTTGTATTCGTACAATATTTTAAATTTTGCTTTGCTGTGGCAAGAACCCCTTATACAAGATCTACCCGCCTCTTTTTCTAAGTGTATATTAACACGTTTGTGGACGATAGGCGCAGTGTCGTGCAGCGGGTCTCTACAGCTCATTCGTCTTGCTTGACTGAAACTTGAGGCTCGTTAATGACAACTCCCCACTTCCCTTCCCCGCCAGCCCCTGGCAGCCATCATCCCACTCTTTGGTTCTATGAATTTGACTATTTTAGACACCTCATGTAAGTGGAATCATGCAGTATTTGTCCTTATATGACTGGCTTGTTTCCCTTAGCAAAATGTCCTCAAGATTCATCCATGTTGAGGAAATTGCAAAATTTCCTTCTCTTTTTAGGATTGAATTGTATTCCATTGTACGTATGTATCACATTTTCTTTATTCATTTACTAATGGACATTTAGGTTGTTTCCATGTCTTGGCCATTGTGGATGGAGCTGCAATGAAAGTGGAAGTGCTAATATCCCTTTGAGATCCTGATTTCAATTCTTTTGGGTAAATACCCAGAAGTGGGATTGCTGGATCATATAGCAGTTCTATTTTTAATTTGAATCTCTCTATACTGTTCCCCATAGTGGTTGCAGCATTTTGCATTTCCACCAAGAATGTACAAGTGTTTTAATTTTTTTACATCTTTGCCAACACTTGTGCTTTTTGTTTGTTTTTTTGTTTTTTTTTATAATAACCACCCTGACAGGTATGAAGTAATACCTTATTGTAATTTTAATTTGCATTACCCTGATGCTTATGACGTTGAACATTTTTTCATTTACCTATTGCCCACTTGCTTGTCTTCTTTGGAGAAACGTCTACTTAAGTCCTTAGCCCATTTTAAAATTAGGTTATTCATTTTTTACAGTTGAATTGTTAGAATTCCTTATACATTTTGGATACTAACCCCTTATCAGATATATGGTTTGCAAATAATTTCTCCCATTCCGTAGGTTACCTTTTTACTCTGTTGGTGGTTTCCTTTGCTATGCAGAAACTTTTTAGTTTGGAATAGTCTTACTTGTTTATTTTTGCTTTTGGTGCCTGTGCTTTTGATGTCATATTCATGAAATCATTGTCAAGATCAATGTCTTAAAGCTTTTCCTCTATATTTTCTTCTAGGATTACAGTTTTGAATCTTACATTTAGATCTTTTACCCATTTGAGTTGATTTTTTTGTGTGTATCATGTAAGTTACAGGTCTACTTTCATTCTTTTGCACATGCACACCCAGTTTTCCCAGCACCATTTGTTGAAGAGACTGTCCTTTCCCCATTGTGCATTCTTGGTTCCATCAAAGATCATTTGACAATATATTCATGGATTTATTTCTGGGCTCTCTGTTGGGTTCCATTGGTCTATATGTCTGTCTTTGCTATACCATACTGTTCTGATTACTATAGCTTTATAATAGTTTGAAAGCAGGAAGTGTGATGCCTCTAGATTTTCTCCTCTCTCCCAGGATTAATTTGGCTATTTGTGGTCTCATATAAATTTTGGAGTTCTTTTTTCTATTTCTGTAAAAAATGCCATTGAGATTTTTGTCACTGAATCTGTAGATTGCTTTGGGTAATATGGATATTTTAATAACATTAAGCCTTCCAATCAAGTAACACAGAACGTCTTTCCATTTGCGTCTTGTTTTATTTCTTTCCTCAGTGTTTTATAATTTTTAGGATGTAGTTTATCACATCCTTAGTTAAGTGTAATCCTAGGTATTTTATTCTTTTTGGTGCTATTGTAAATGAGGTTGTTTTTCTAATTTTCTTTTCAGATAGTTCATTGTTAGTGTACAGAAATGGAACTGATTTTTGTATGTTGATTTTTTATCCTTAAATTTTATTAAATTTGATTAGTTCTAATAGTTTTTTTCAATGGCATCTTTAGGGTCTTCTATATATAAAGTCATGTCATCTGCAAACAAGGAAATTTTACTTCTTCCTCACCAATTTGAATGCCATTTATTTATTTGTTTGTTTTTGCCTAATTGACCTGGCCAGGTCTTTGACTTCCAGTTGTTGAGAGTGGTGTCTTGGCTTTTTTGCTAATCATAGAGGAAACATTTTAGTTTTTCAGCATTGAATATAATATTTAGCTATTGGCTTTCCATATATGGCCTTTATTATATTGAGGCCATTTCCTGTAATCCTAGTTTGTTGAGAGTTTTTATCACAAAAGGGTGTTGAATTTTATCAAACACTTTTTCTACATCTATTGGGATGGTCATGTGACTTTTTTTTTTATCCTTCATACTATTATGCACATTAATTGATTTTCATATATTGAACCATCCTTGTATCTGAGGGAAAAATCCTACATGGTCATGGTGTATAATTCTTTTAATGTGTTGTTGAGTTCATCTTGCTAGTATTTTGTTGAAGACTTTTGCATCTATATTTATCAGGGATATTGGCCTGTAGTTTTCTTTTCTTATGATGTCATTGCCTTGCTTTAATATTAAGGTAATGCTGGGCTCATAAAATTAGTTTGGAAGTGTTTCCTCCTCTTCAATTTTTTTGAAAGAGTTTGAAAAGAGTTAGTGTTAATTTTTATTTAAATGTTTGGTAGAATTCACCTGTGAAGTAATCTGGTCCTGGGTTTTTCTTTGTTGGGAAATTTTGATTACTTATTCAATCTCCATACTAGTGATAGGTCTGTTCGGACTTTCTAGTTTTTCAGTCCTTTGGGGATCCCCCTTGGAAAATTTGGGGGTCTGGATGCATGAAACAACCTCTTCTCTCCTGAGTGAAGCTGGAGGCTAGGGGATTTTTTTCCTGATTGTGTAGGGTCTCTGTTGAGAGGGTGTCCTGAATCTCCCTACCAGCTTCAGTGAGTCTGAATTCGAGTTCTCCTGGGTTACAAGAAGCTCTCAAATAGTTTCTGATTTCTCATAAAGGCAATTTGTCCATGAATTGTTGCTGATTTTGATGTTTATGGGGGGAAGAAGGGTCTTGGACTTCCGACTCTGCCATCTTGCTGACATCATTCCTCTGGGGAGGGAGATATTTTAACCACCCTTAGTTTTTCTAAAATGATGCAATTTTAATGCTAAGGGCATCTTTTTAGGGTCAAATATTAGAATACTTTACTTATTGGAAATGATTTATAATAATTTATTGACATTATCTTTATTCCATTTAGATAACATGAGATTGCCTATTTCAATAAATGTTACTCCCTGTTTAGAATTGAAGGGAAGCCATGGATATTTGCTTATTTCATACATTCCAAGTAAGTCCAAAGTTTTTTATTTTAGATCGGTTAAGAGGGTTCAAGAAATATCGGTGATAAATGATTGTGTTCCAAATGTACATGTGTTAGTTTTCTATTGTTATGTAACAAATTGCCACAGTCTTAATATCTCAAAACAGTACACATTTATGTGAGACTTTTAACAATCCAATAGGTATATCCTTTGTCAATCATTATCTATGTAACTGATAAGTAAAGTTGGGTTTCTACTAGTTAAAGATCTGTGTAGGAGCAAGCCAGCATGTTTTTTTCCAAAGATGATCTTTCTAACAACAACAACAAAAAGATGTGATGAAAGAAGACAATGTTTTTTATTTTATGTTTTGTCATGTTTTTCTTCTCTATGATTTTACTTGTCATCAGCATTGCAAAAACTAAATTGGGTGATGCTGATAGTATAGGGCTGGATCTGAGTGTCTGTGAAAACACATAAAACTTTTATCCTCTCTTACCTGTCACCTTTGTTGTGTGTATGCCATAGGGTCCCAGAAAACCTCAATTCTAATTATCCTTATTATGATTATTGCTTTCATCATCAGTATCATCATTACATCCTAGCTTATATTTGGACTTTACAAAGTACTTTCCCATACATAAGCTTAAATAAAAATTTTTCCCCCTGATTTTGGTTCTCCAGTTTACAAGAAAAAAGATAGCTGAGAACCTGGAAATAATAGACAATAAACACATGTTTTAATATTCCCGAATTTCATTGTTCAACCTGTATTTCGACACTTTGTTTCTGCATTCATTTATTCATTAAAAAATGCTCAGTAAATGCATAGTATATTTCAAGTATTGTGACAAATACTGTGAATTCATTGATAAATAAGATATTCTCTTGACCATCAAGAATCTCGCAGTAAAGACGGACAGACCTGTAGATAAAATGGCACGATTAGTGAAATGATAGCAGTAAGGCTTAGTGGTAGCACTTAGAAAAGAACCATAACCCTGTTCACTTCACTTTCGTAGCCAAGAGAAAAAGAAATATCTTTTTTTCTAAACTTTTGCCTGACTAAGGCTCTACATTTTCTTCCTGTTTTCTCAGGTGTGTTTTTTTTTCTGGTCTGTGTGCTGTGCTTTACCCCTAGATGTTTGGCAGAAGTGATTATTTACAAAACAAATGACCTGATTTTCAAGCAAACCCCTTGCCCTTACAAACAGGAAGTGAGTTGTATCCTCCCAGGCCCAAGTCATAATAATACAATGTGGTAACACTCAGGGTTCTCTGAAAAGCAAATACCAAGAAGGAATTAGACATGCAAGAGATTTATTAGGGGGAAATGCTTATGAACAATAAAGGGAAGAGAGTGCCAGAGCAGGCAAGGGGAGGATTGAGACTGAGGTGCAGTTCTGATAAAGAGAACAGAATGAAGAAAAAAAAAAATTAGTGCAAAACAGTTGGTAAAGGTGAGAGTTACTGTGTTGTTATTTGTTTGTCATAGATGGGTTATGAGTGTTTGCCTTTGTACAAATCCTAGGGTATAATGCACTTATAACACCTATTTGGGGACAGGGTCGAAACGTTTAAAAAGTTTCTCTAGACAAGAAGAGTTCCATGAGAGAGGGAAGGAAGGAGAATTTGGTAAGATGGTCATCAGTCCAAAATGCATCCCTGAAATCCTCTCTGCTGGGTCAGTGGGGAGCCCTATAGCAAAGATTGGCTGTTACAGGTGTCCCATGACAGGCAGGGGGAGGCTGGCTCTAGTGCAGGGCTCAGTCATTAGCGGAGCAACCTGTAAGAGCCTTGCCTCTGGATAAGGGCTGACATGGACCTGAAGGAGCAGCAGCTGGAGGCTGTCTGCCAACCGTCTTGCTCCCGGGAGGTGCTTTGGAAGGAGGGTTGAGTAGCGTACCTCCGTGGCTACCACAAATACCTTCATCATTCACTAAACATGACATTTCCAGAACGTTATATTAATGCAGTAACAAAAGAATTATTCAGCCGTATTTTTTATAGTGCTTTGCAATTGTGACCTGTGTTTCCTCAGACTATACTAGAACGTCTGTATAAAGTGTGGGGTCCAATTCTAGACATCAACCTTGTTTTTAGGGTGTGCTATCTCTGCTTATATTCAGGAAGAGCTAAAAGTACAGCCTTGAGCCAAAAATAGGGAATGGAAAATATTTATTTTGAGACTTTATGGCCTTGCTAGTAAATTATTTGTGTATCATTAGCCGATTGACAAAGAAAGCTGGACCATAAGCCTCCCTCAAAGTTATTTCTGGTAGTTCCTGGAGTTGTCTTAGGTGAGCTCAAAACCAGTCTTTTTTGTTACCACATGACAGCCACTGAGTGTTGGTCTCTCCGCCCAACACCCACATTAACATCCCCAACTACTGAGTCACACAAGTGGCTCCTCCCATCAACCTGGGTACAGGTGCCCACGTGACCACAGTGACGTCCCAGGGCAAGAAGCATCTCAAGATGGAAACGGCTGAGAGGCTAAAATGGCGCTTCCTCTCCTGGGGTCACTGAAGACCAGAACACGCTGTGTTCCATGCAAAAAATGGAAGAAGGTCCTTTGTCCTGCGTTGTCATAGGACACAACAGCAGGACTGCCCCATGCCTGTGTCTCAAGGAATTTCTTGTGAAAGCAGCTCTTCACCTTCTGCCCATATCCCTGGTTTTGGAGAGGTTCAGGCCTAAGACCATGGAGCAGACCCTATGATGTTCTTCTCCATATTTTACCCTGAAAGTGTGGAAGTGGAGACAAATTAGGAAGTTTGGTGGCACTTTGAGCTCAGAGTAACCAGGGCCTGCCTTAAGACCGTGGTCATGGGGAGGAAAAGGAGGTGAGTAAGATTTACTGGGGTGGGGAATTCTAGTGCTGATTTGAGATGAAGATGAGGAAATCAATTTTGGATCCGTTGGGTGCCGTGACGAGCAGCATTTGCATAGTGATGCTGAATGCATATATGAGGCAGGTGCTCAGGAGAAAGCCTGAGACTAAAGATGGTGACCTGGAAATGATCACCTTGTGTGGTACTTAAAGCCAGGGCGAGTGCACAGAATAAATATTGAGGAAAACCGAGGACAGAACCCTCAGAAGGAGGAATCAATGATATAGACTGAGAGGAGTAAGTCCGAGAGGCTGGAGATCTGCCAGAAGAGATCGGAAGCACCAATGCCACATGCAGGAGAGAGTTTTGAGGAAGAAACTGGCAGTTCTGTTAGGCGTAACCAAGCTCAGTTTAAAGATGGAGAACTTTTCCTTTGCTTATGGCTACAATGAGTCCTGGTGACCTTATTAGGAAAATATTTTCAGGGAAGTAGTGGTTACTAGAATTTATTTTCCTAATGAAAAAGATTGTACCTTTTCCAGTCGGGCCCACTGAAGAACTTAGAAGAGTTGAGCAAAATACATTGTTAGCCGGATTTTTCCATGTTAATCGGTAATAGGGAGATCATGAGGGAATAATAAATAGCTCATACATTTTTCTTTTTTACCCAAAGAAAATATTTGTTTTAATGTTGCTGTATTCAGTTTACTATAAATATAGTACAAATTGAAGGACACTTTCTAGTGCTAAAACCCAATGGTGAAACTTTCCCAAACAGATAAGTTCAGTGGCCTCAGCAAAAAAAAGATCAACTTTTTAATATAAAATTGATAACAGTTTTCCAGTGCAGGGCTCAATATTGATGTGTAGTGCCAATGATAATAGCTTCCTCAAAGTGAAATAATTGAGCATAATTTTATTTTACTGTATTATCACCTGTTTTAACCCAGAGATCATACATCTAATTTTTTTTTTTTTTTTTTTTTTTTAGCTGAGCCCTCCTGCCAACTGTTGGCAGCTCAGTGGCTGCTCAGCTCAGGCTGGCACTCGAACCGCTGTTGCTCAGAGCTCGCACTCTTGAGCGAGCTCTTAACCAACTGAGCCACTAGGCTGGCCCCATCTAATTTTTGATCAAAAGGTTTAATTTTGTTCTCCAAGAAATATGTCATCAAAACTACTAAAGAGGGGGCATGAATTGACTATTGTCACTCCCTTTCCTTTCTTTGAACTTCCTGGCAGAATTGTAACTAGAACAGAAAATTTTGTGTCTTCATTTGATAGTTTTTTTAAAAAAAAATATGTTTCTCTATTTTTAGGCATAGCACAGATAATTCTTGCTGTGGAATGTACCAGTTACCCTCTCAGAACTTTAGTTTTTTTCTCTGCAAAACAAGGATCATAATACCCATACGACAGGTAGTCATGATGATGGAATGAGATAATGGTGGAAAAGCATGGGGCATATTTTAAATATTTAATAAATGTTAATTATTATTTATAACATAATTTCTTATTTGAGGACTAATGGGATTTTTTTTTCTTTTTAAGGAAGAGACATGAAAAATTTATATTTCAATCTGTATTTATCTCATAAATCCTTGATTTTTCCAATGCGCAAAGAAGTTATTTGTCGAGAATCTGATGCCCAGTATTCTTTTTGCAGAGCTCTGAAGGGAGGTAAGCATTCAACTTATAGTGCTCTCAGAATAGAATCTCAGACTTGATGAGAATGTCATGAAAATGAGATGAACTGAAAATGTGAAGTTTCTTTTCCAATACTAATTCTTTAATTCCATTCAAAGTTTTTACTTTAAGCAGCTTAAACATTTTACAATTATGTTACTGAGTTATTATTAAGGTGATGTTTCCTTGAGTGTGGTTGAAGGGATATTAAATTTTTTACCTTGTTCACATTAATATTGCACACTTACCCTTGGTTATAGATCTCTTTTTCTAAACATTACATTTATTATTTTTCATAGAAACTCACTAGATTTCTCTTTGCAGCTGCATTAGTTGCTTCTGTGTCTTACCCCTCATTTTTTCCACCCTGGAATTATTCACAGAATCATAAAATCTCCGAGTGTAAGACCTGATTATTACAACTTCATGAATTTTTCCTTGATAATTTTTAAACTAGTATTTTAAATGGTTTAAAAGATTATCAATATCATGCTGTCACATTACCAAAAATGGAAAATATAAACAATAATGAAGTCACAGAATTGTATTTCTAAAGTCATTTTGGCGTATTTCCTTCTCATATTTTAATCTACATATATTGTTTATGTAGTTGTAAGTATACCTTACTACACTTTAAAAAATAATAATAATAATTACTATTATTATTATTATTTTTTAAAGATTATACTGGGGACTTGGACACTCAGTTCTGGCCCGAGCCATAACTTACCAAAAATGCGGTACCACCTTTATGCCTACTGCACCTTTTAATTGCAATATTGCAGTTTTTAACTCCTTCTTTGCCTGTCTGTATCTCCAGTGGACTTTCAGTCTTTGAGGGAAGAGTTAGTGAGTGCACTTACCCTCGTCTCCCCAGCTCCTGGCACACAATAGGCTTTCAATAAATATTTGTTGAGCTATTAAATTTGAACTGGGTTGGCCTAGAATGAAAGATCATAAGATCATGAAGACAGGATCACTTGACTAAGCCCAAGATCCAACATCTCAGTGTATTAGCATCCTTAATGAGGATACAGCCAAAAGAAAATAAATGCTTATTTGTGAGAACAGAAGGCATATATGCAGACAGAATCTATTCATTTGCTATTAAGGATTGTCTTTAGTCTGTTCTGAGAACAATCACCATTACAGCTTTGCATTTAACTATGTATAGGACTTACAAAAAAAAAGATTTATGGTCACTATTGCTTTTGTTAGATCCAAAACATTTCTGTCTTTCTATCCTTAACCTGGTTAAGTTCATCCTTTGTTGTTTCTGAGCAGGTCAGTGGAGTGTGGTTTTTCTGCCCATGGTTCTGTGCCCCACAGTCTCTGCAGGGCCAGGCTCAAGGCTGTGCATTTTAACAGTAACTAAATACTTAGCTTTCTCATAGTGGCATTGAGAGGAGCTTTGGGGTCCTGGCTGCCTCTTCAACCTCCCTTCCACCTTTAGGAAGAGTCTTCTCTATTGTACCTTACTAAAGGAGCAGCAATGTTAAATATGCATATACGAGGTCTGACAATTGAGTTCCCAAACTTGTTGCAATGATGTTGCTAACCTTTTTTGATATCAGAGGGATTATTCATTATGAATTTGTCCCAACTGGACAAACAGTTAACCAAGTTTACTATTTGGAGGTGCTGAAAAGGCTGCGTGCAAAAGTTAGACGGCCTGAACTTTTCGCCAACAATTCATGGCTCTTGCGTCACGACAATGCACCAGCTCACACAGCACTGTCTGTGAGGGAGTTTTTAGCCAGTAAATAAATAACTATATTGGAACACCTTCCCTACTCACCTGATCTGGCCCCCAATGACTTCTTTCTTTACCTGAAGATAAAGGAAATACTAAAAGGAAGACACTGTGATGTCATTCAGGACATCAAGTGTAATATGACAATAGCTCTGATGGTCATTCCGGAAAAAGAGTTCCAAAATTGCTTTGAAGGGTGGACTAGGCGCTGGTGTTGGTGCATAGCTTCCCAAGGGGAGTACTTTGAAGGTGACCATAGTGATATTCAGCAGTGAGGTGTGTAGCACTTGCTCTAGGATGAGTTAATGAACTTAAGTGTCTGACCTCGTATATAGCTTCAAATGAAGCATATTAGCAGTAGCTTGTTCATCACCCATTCATTGTTGAAACCAGTGGGACTTAAAGTTTGTACCCCTAAGAGATGAAATACAGGCTAGAACTGATGGAGGCCTGAGATGGCAGACAAGCCACAGGAGAATCATATCCAGTGTAAGACTTATTATTTCTCTCCAATTTGCTTGAGACTGTTGCTGCCAGTAGTAAAAGTGTAAAAGGTGCATGCCATACTACCAAAAAAAAAAAAATCACCAAGGGATAACCAATACCTTTTTGTGTTTTTTTTTTGCAGAGACTGTGAATACAAGCATATATTTCTCCTTCAAGGGAATACGATTCTCTAAGGTACTGTTCAAGAGTCATTTTGTACTTTCTTAACCTTTTGCAGAAACAGATGTGTTAAGTATCTGAAGCAAGCTGTTCACAACTTCTAAAAATTGTGACCCAGGATTAACATTTTCAAGATTTATTTTTGTTTTTATTTTCTTAAAGATTTTATTGGGGAATTGGGGAAGGGGAACAGCCAAGTTGTTGTCCCTAAATCTTAGTTGTGGAGGGCGCAGCTAGCTCAGCTCCAAGCCTAGTTGCCATCCGGCCACCTGTTGGCAGCTTGCAGCTGCTCAGCTCAAGGTGCTGTGTTCAATCTTAGTTGTGGGTGGGCGTAGCCCACCTACCCACATGGGAGTTGAACCAGCAACCTTGTTGTTAGGAGCACGTGTTCTCACCAGCTGAGCCATCCTGCCACCTGTTGGCAGCTCAGTGGCCGCTCAGCTCAGGCGCAGCTCACTGGCCCATGTGGGAATCGAACCGGCGACCCTGTTGCTCAGTGCTCGTGCTCTTAACCAATGGAGCCACTTGGCTGGCCCAAAAGGTTTCTTTTTAAAGTTTTATTTGGTTTTGAGAATTTGGCCACTTCTTCCTTCCGAAGAATACAGAAATATAAAAAAGTTACACAAAAGAAAGTTCTTTTTTTTCACTTCATATTTTTCCACTAATGCATATGGCTGAAGGTAATACAGATGCTCCTTGTTGATATGTTGAATGACGTGGGGGTGAACGCACTGCATGACCCCTGTGTGGGACTCTGTAATTGCATCCATGAATAATAACGCTGAAATGTTAGATATTTGCATTAGACACCTAGCAACACATTTTTTGCACACGTTTCATTTTTTGGTGACTATTTTATTTATTATTTTTAATTATTTTTTTTTAAAGATTTTATTGGGGAATTGAGGGAGGGGAACAGCACTGGGGAATCAGGGGAAGGGGAACAGATAAGTTGCTGTCCTTTTGTTCTTCAGTCTAGTTGTGGAGGACGTTGCTTCACTGGCCCATGTTGGTATTATCATTGTGCTCTTCCCGGGCGAGGCTGATCGGTCGCCAGCCTCTGGACGGCCACTCACAGCAGCTCTTGGCAGCTCACGCCAGCTGCTGGCCGCTCACGCTGGCTGCCAGACACACATGGTAGCTCATGGCAGCCCACTGCAGCAGGGGCTACAGCCTTGCGTCGCTGGCGACTCACGGCAGCCCAGCTCCAGGTTGAGCTGTTGTTCACCATCTTAGCTGTAGAGGACAGTGTCACTGGCCCTCCTCTGAGATCTGAACCGGGCCCTGCTGCTCAGAGCTGGCATCCCAAGCCAGCTCTTAACCAACGCGCCGCTCGGCCGGCCTGGTCACTATTTTAACATAAACTTTAACAATGAATATTCTTTATGTATTTTGTTTACAAGTGACATCTGATATTTGAAAATCTCACAGGCTAGTTTCAAAAAAGTCGTTAAAAGACACCCTTTTCATCATTGGGAAATAAATGTGTCTTCTGTTTGCTGACTGCAAAGGCATACAAAAAGGTTTCATCTCGTTAGAAAACTGAACAATGAGAACCAGTCCCATTTAAATGACTTCCTCCTAGTAAGGAAAACTTCTTCTAAAAATCTTTCAAAATAGAAGCATCTAATATTTTATATTACATGTATTTCTTATTCTTCCTTTCAGGGACTGTACAGATTTGTTGTAGAAGCCATCACCGGGATTACTGAAGAATTGCTCTTTTGTTTGAATTTTACCATCATATACAGCCCTAATTTCAATTAGAATAAATCTAGTATATTTTTATTTTTTAAAGGTTTTTATTCTTTACTTACATTTTTTTCCCCAGTGTCTTTGTTGCCTAGGGCTGCCAAAACAAATGCCACATAGTGGATGGCCTAAACAACAGACATTTATTTTCTCACAGTTCAGGAGGCTAGAAATCTGAGATCAAAGTGTCGGTACATTTGGTACCTTCTGAGGCCTCTCCCTTCAGCTTGTAGATAACCTTCTTCTCCTTATGTCTGCACATGGCCTCTGTCTGTGTGTCTAATCTCTTCTTATAAAGACACCAGTCATATTGCATTAGGGTCCACCCGTAAGAAACCTCTTTAAAGACCCTTTCTCCAAATCCAGTCACATTCTGAGGTACTAGAAGTTAGGGCTTCAGCATATGAATTTGGGGGGTGGGGCGGGGCACAATTCAGCCCACAACACACAGGTAATAAAATCCCTTGAACTGGTTGACCTTTCTCCATTTCCTGCCTCTACCTGCGGAGGGCAGGTGACCAGCACTGCTCTGCCGGGATCACTCCGCTGCCTCCTGACTGATCTTCCTGCACCTGGGCAGGTGCCTCAGGTAAAGAAAGCATTCTCCACAAAGGCAGTTTCAATACTACGTTCAAAATACAGGTCCGATCATGTCACCACAATGCAAATGGAACAAAACGAAACAAGAGCAAACAAGGCCCTTCCTGTGGCTTTTTGATTCCTTTTGGAATGAAGGTGGCCTCTTTTGGAGGGCCCGCTGGGTCCTGCCAATCCTTTCCCTCTCCAGCCCCTTCTCCCGCCACCCTCCCCTTGCTCTCTCTTGTTCCAGAATGTTCCGTGTCCCCTCCCACTCCAGCACCTTTGCCCACACAGCTCCCTTTGCCTCGACTCCACTCCTCCACTCCACCTTGCACTCACCCCTTCACCTCTGTAAGGGGCGTGGCCCTCTCTTGGCTCAGGTGCTGCTTAGGGAATTATCAGCTGGTTGTGCGGAGTCTACCGCACACCTTTCCATCCTGGGCAGAGGCAGCCCTGGTTAACATCGCAGCGAAATCATAGCACAGAGCCTCACGTCCATGCTCCTGTGGTTTTCTTGGTCCCCCAAATCCCTTTTTCTCCACCCACCTTTATCTCGCCCAGGCAGGGCCAGCTTTCCTCGTGACATGCCTGTGTCCCTTCCTTACAATACAGACCCCTCATTTTGTCATTACTTCAGTCATCTGTCACTAGAGCCCGGGCCGCGCAGTCAGTCCAGTTTTGCTGAGCACTCTTGACCGAGCACCTAGGCTGGCATTTGCCCTGAATCCATATTTGTTGCATGGATAAAGGAGCATTTTCTTCTTGTAAAACAGTCAAACAATATATAACTATAGAAAGCAAGATATTCATGTAATGATTCGACTAATATTTGTTGAGCACCTGCTATAGGTCAGGCCCTGTCTAGAAGCTGGTTGTACAGAATTTAACCATGAAGATTAAAAAAAAAAAAAAATCCCTGTCCTTACGGAGCTTAGATTTTTGTGGGAAGAGATGGGAAAAAAAAAAAGTCAATATTAGAGTACTTTAGAAGCAAATGTGCTGTGTGATATGTAGAGCAATAATGCAGAGAAGGGGGAGAGAGACTCTGGGGGAAGTGGTGATGGTTGCAGTTTTAAATGGGGTGATTGTGAAAGGCCTTACTGAGATAATGGTATTTCAAAGGGGTGAGGGAACCAGCCATGTGGCTTCCTGGGAGTAAAGGCATTGCAGACTGAGAGAGCAGCTGGTGCCAAGGCCCTGGGGTCAGAGCGTGTCTGGTGTGCTTGAGGAAGAACAGGGGGCTTTTCAAGTGAAGTGAGTGAGGGGAGATGAGTGCATGTTAGGGGTGAGTAGGCATGTGCCGTAGGGGTATGTAGGCCATTGAGTGAGATGGAAAGCCACTGTAGGGCTCCATGTAGGAGAATGACATCAGCTCACATTTTAAAAAGGCTTAGCCTGGCGGCCATCTGCTCAGGCACGGGGGAAAAAACCGGGGAACTTTTTGCAGCAATCTAGGTAGAACAGGAAGGGGAAAGTTGGGAAGCTTTTGAAGTAATCCAGGTAACAAGGTGATGGAGGGGTGGTGAGAAGTCCTCCTATAGGGCTGCTTTAATGTAAACCTCTCCTGATATTGTTTTAAGAAGAACACAACTGGAGGGCTATCGATGACCTGTTTGCTTCTGCTCTTTTTAATTTAAAATTGTTCCTCGTAGGGTGTCATCAAGTTTCAAAAAAACAACAGGTGGAAGCAGTTCTGTAATTGGAAACTCTTTTTTCATTTTAAAATGAGAAATTCTCCTTAGATTCACAAAACCTTTGCTGACTTCTGACATCATAAAAATTAATGCATTTCATTACAACAATTTCACACAGTGCATAGAGCAACAAGTGAAATTCCCCTTTTCGTTTTTTTTTTTATACTGCTCCCCCAAAACTATTTTAGCAGCTTGGTATGTGACTTTTCATTCATATGTATATCACGCTATAAATGCTATTTTTACATGTATCTACACATGCACATTTCTCAACATGAAATTACTGTATGGTGTTTTTCTAATTTGAATCTGGGAGATATTTCCAAGTCAATACATATAGATCTATCTCATTATTTTTAATGGCTGCAGGAATTTCTGTTGTTTGGCTCTACCATAATTTAGTTCCTCATTTTTCTTATTGGAGATATATATACAGGATACAAAAATAGATGTAGAATATAGTTCTAAACACTATCCTAAACCAATCCTGGACTGGTCCTGGCCCAGACAGAAACTGCTTATAAAGGAACTTATTAGGACAATTAATGATATGGAATGTGGACTCTAGATGAAATTCAAATTCCATATTAAGCTTCCCGATTTTAATAACTGTAGCGTGGTTAGGTAAGAGAATATCTTTATTTATAAGGGGTGAAGGTGTATGGTGTATGAAATCGACTCTTGAATTGTTTAGCAGAAAGAAAATCTATGCCCGTAAATATAATATATATTATATAAGTATACATATATACACATAGACAGAGAGAAAATTATAAAGCAAATGCAGCAAAATGTTAAAAATGGGCTCATCTAGGTATAGGAGAGCTTCATGAGTCTTGCACATTTTCCATAAATTTGAAACTATTTAGATCTGCAATTATTTAAACATTTATTTAAAATGACCTATAAATTAAAAAAATTAACTTGAAAAAAGAAAGGAGCACTGGCATTATACCATTCTAGTCACACTAACAGAATTTGAGACTTGGACTCACTCAAACCTCTGCCCCTTTAGACAAGAGCGCCAACACGTTCCAACAAGAGCAAGCACTCAGGGAAGATGAGCGACTTGGGATGTGACAGATGCCCCAAACATTTATCTCCTCGGACCTTCCCTTTCCATGTTTTCTTCCTGTATTAAACTAGTCAAAGATAGAAATTTCCAGTGAGTTCGAATAAAAATTAGGGCCTGGCCCTCCAGGCCTCTTCTTTAGGTCCGTGGCCTTAGGCTGTCACCCCTCACTCCTGCTTCCACTGTGCCAGCTCCATCTGTCATTCTCCAGGGTCTGGCCAGTCCCGTCTGCCGCTGTGTGGGTTTCAGAGCACGGCTGGGTGATGCCCAGGTGGGCAGAGTTCTCTACCACTGGACTAGTCCAGATGCCCAGAGCCCTCACTGCATAGCTGGTTTGCTGCTGGAAGCTTGGGGACACTGGTGCCACACGTGGATCTACCGCCAATGGGACCTCAGGGTTCACCGTCCTCATCTGCCGAGTGAAAGGTTTGGACTGGATCAACTCTAATGGCCATGGCTTGAGGAACCAGAAAAATCTAAAGCAGAATTGACCCTCTCAAAGAATGCTATTCCTTTCTCATTTTGTCTTGGGTGTTATAGGCTCTCCCAGCTGAGTCGGAGAGGTTGTATAATGGGCGTCAAAAATGAGACATGAACCCAAATCCTCACTTTCCATTTTGAAGTACACTTTTTGTTCATAGAGAACAATTAGGAATATAAAAAGAAATCCTTCAACTTGACAACCCAAGATAGTACCAGATAGCTAAAATATATGAGACAAATCGTTTTTTTCTTATTAAAAGGAAGTTAATATGGTAAATTCATGAATATTTACATGGGACAATTTTCTCAGGGGGAAAAAAATGGTCATCTTTGACTTTGAAGGGGAAGAGAATTAAAAGGCAATTTAAGTCTGTGAACCACCTCAGCTCCTGACAACACTGTCCGTATGCTTTGCCTCCTGCCCAGACGCCTCTGTGTCCTGATTGAGCATTCCTTTCTTTCCTCAGGTTTGCTCTCTCAGGAGAGTACTGCCTGACAATCTTAGTTCCCCAGTAACTGTAATCCAGAATAGATATGATTCTCCATTCATTGAAAATGTCGGTCACGAGTTCCACGCCAGGCACTATGCCCGGCACAGACGGCACACACAGACCACCCCCGGCCCTCGAGGCGTCCACCGGCTTGTGAGTCCAGAAATGAGCGCTTTACTTGTTTTTGAACCATATGAATGAAATGATCCTGTCTGTGTTTCTTTACCTCGGGTTTCTCTTGGATCGACTGAGTGTTTGTGAGGCTCATTCATTCTGTTGCTGCAAGCCACTGTAGCTCGTTCACGTTTTCTCCTACAAACAATGCCACCACCAGCAGCCTTGTACATACCACATGTGCCCTGCCGCTCACGAGGGCTGCAACCCGAGGCAAAGGCGCCGTGGTTTTTCTCTCCACTGCTACAATATTATCCCAACACCAACCTGAACCCCGATTCCAGCTAGAGAAATGCATCTGCAACACAAATCTGATCCTCTCACCCCCCTGCTTAAAATGTTTTCACGGTTTCCCACTGTTCCTAGAATAAAGACCCACATCTCTGATGTAGCCTTCAAACCCTTTGAAGCCAGCATCCTAGTCCACTGTTATTCCTACATGTTCTTTCTCTGGGCTCTACAGCTAGAGACCTTTCAGTCCTTTAAATAATTCTCTTCTAGGCCACTCCTGCCCCCTCCCCCCCTTCCCCGCCCCCTTCCAAC